CATACAAGTCCTTTGGTTGATCTCTTACTCTCCCCCCGACTCTCCTCTGCCTTCCTGCTGGGGTTTGAGGGTCTTCTCTGTCTCTGGATCTATTTTTGTTGATCAGTTTATGTTGTTCATTATGTTCCACAAATGAGTGAGATCATGTGATATTTATTTTTATCTGACCTAACGCACCCTGCACAATGCCGCTGCCCCCACTGACCACCAAGGATGTGACACTGGAGATGGTGATGGCCACACTGCCCAACTTTCATCAGGCTTCTCTCCAGATGTCCCTGACCTGGCAACTGGGCAGACGTCAGCCCCTTAGTGTGAGAGCTGGGTGGCCTGGTCCCTGAGGAAGGGGGCAGCTGTGGGGAGGTGTGGCGCTCCAACCTGGGGTTCATAAGGCTCTCAGCTGCTTTTCTCTCTCCATCTCAGGTGGCTCTGGGCCAGCATGAGGAGGAGTATTTTTCAGGCCCTGAGCCCAAGGCTGTGCTGAAGAAGTTCAGGGAGGAGCTGGCTGCCCTGGATAAGGAAATTGAGATCCGGAATGCAAACCTCTATATGCCCTACGAGTACTTGCGACCCAGCAGAGTGGAAAACAGTGTGGCCATATGAGCACCCCTGGCCTGTGGTTGTTTCAGCATCTCTTCCCCCAACCCACAGCCCCATCCCTGAGAGCTTTCGGTCTTCCGCTCCCAGCCAGGCCCCTTTCTATCTCCACCCTCCATAGAGAGTCCCTTTTTCTTTCTGTGTACCCACAGTGAACACATTGTACTCTAGACACACCACCTCATTTTCTCCTTATTCCTCCCACTTTTCCTATTGTCCTTCCTTCCTCCCTCATCACTGGGTTCTCCCAAAGGGCAGATAGTAGTTACATTTATATAAACGGTTTCACTGGACTAGGGCAATAATACATATTACTCCACATGTTTACAATTTTGAGTTTAACAATAAAAAAAGATATTTTAAACTAATGAAAGAAACGAAATTAGATAAAACTATCCTAAATCAAACACTGGCCAAAGAATATACAGTACGTCTTTTTAACTCAGTGGGATTTAACACGTCCTGAAGCCAGACACAACACAGGGCAGACCATGGACACGGCAGTTCTCAAGATTTTCACTTTGTGGCTCACTTAGAAAACGACACGTGGAAGTAAAGTGGTTAAACCCAAGAAGCTGCTCCCAGCTGGAGGGATTTGGCCTTGGGCCTTCAGTCTGAGGGGTCCATACTTATAACCCATTTGCAGTTCACCAGCCTGGAGGCTCCAAATAAAAGTAATGAACTGGGAAGATAGTAAAAATTTCATGGTTATTTTAATGAGTGACAGCAAAGGAACCAATACATTCCAACTTCTGTATCTTATTAAATTTTAGAAAAATAAACTTGGAAGTTTTCTTCTTTTTTTCCAAATATATTTTTATTGATTTCAGAGAGG